TTTCATACGCTCATGCTTATATTTGTGTTACCTGACATTTGTCATCATCTGTCAGTGAGTTGGCGGGTAAAGTGCAGTGATTGGCTGTAGAGGAGGTCGGTCCATTTACACACCACAGTAACAGCTGGATTAAGTGTGTCCGTACCTGTAACCATGGTTACCGTCTGACCGTCTCCCAGTTGACCTCTAACAACCAAAACAATCAACAAAACATGAGAGAGGATGACCTGAGGTCAGATCCTGATTTTAGACATTTTTCAGATTTACTTGAAACATGGTTCAGTGTAAACACAGTAAAAAAAACGATGATATAAACATCTATGATCTAGACATTTAAGAGATAAATATCTGTAATATTATGATATAAACATCTATGATTTAAACATCTATGATAAATACATTCATGAGATGAACATCTATGACAAAAACATCTATGATATAATCATCAATGATGTAAACATCTATGAGATAAACATATATGATATAATAATCTATAATATAAACACCTTTGATATAAAGACCTATTATATAAACATCTATGATATAAAGACCTACAATTATGAACATCTATGATATAAATCTTTATGACCTCCTTATATTCAGGTGTAATCAGGTCCAAATGTCTCCATTAGATGGTTCTAAAGAGGATCCAGTGTGTGTGTGTGGGGTGGGGGGGCTGTTTACAGGCCTCTAATTAGACTACACACACTGACAGGGTGGACACACACACACATACACACACTCACAGACCTAAACATGAACACAATAAATTAATTTAAGGATGTGGAGCAACAAGCAGATCTGTGTATGTGTGTGAGAAACATCCTCTTTTATTATCATAATGACACACACACACACACACACACACACACACACACACACACACACACACACACCCTGCTTAAGCTGCAGGTAATTAGCGGGTTTAAAGGGACTCTGGTCAGCGCTGATGAATTTTCGGTTCCACATGTGAACAAATCTGAATTTAACAAGCAGGATGAGTGTCAGACACTAAAACCAGGACCTGAGCCCGGCGCTAATCTGGTCTGTGCAGGACCCGCCAGAACCTCTGAGACTTATTTATAAAAGGAACTCCACAGACTGAGACCAGGTCTACTCTACTCAACTCAACTTTATTTATAGAGCACTTTAATACAACCAAAGCTGACACAAAGTGCTGTACATAATAATATAAAAACAACAATAATCAGTTGTTTTGAAATATAATCAAAAGCAATAAAAAAGAATAATACAAATGCTGTCTCATACTGGGTCAAAAGCCAAGAAATAAAGTGGGTTTAGACAGGTTTTTTATGGATAGGTCTACAGAGAAGACGGTCTCTGCCATTAGACTCAAAACTTTAAACGCTTTTATCAAGTTTTAAGGATTTTTATTCAGTTTTTAAAGATTTTTATCCAGTTTTTAAGGATTTTTTAAAACCAGTTTTAAGGATTTTTCATTCAGTTTCTAAGGATTTTTAAGACCAGTTTTAAGGATACCTTAATTCAGTTCTTGAGGATTTTTTTTAAAACAAATTTTTTAGGATTTTTCTTTGGTTTTTAAGGATTTTTTCTTTGATTTTAAGGGGTTTTTCTAAAATGTGTTTTTTTTTAGGATTTTATTTAAAACCAGTTTAAGGATTTTTTTATTCAATTTTTAAAGATTTTTTTTAAAAACAGTTTTTTAAGGAGTTTTTAAACCAGTTTTAAGGATTTTTTTATTCAGTTTTTAAGGATTTTTAATTCAGTTTTAAGGATATTTTTAAAACCAGTTTTCAAGATTTTTTATTCACTTTTTGAGAATTTTTTTAAACCAGTTTTAAGGATTTTTTGTTCAGTTTTTAAGGATTTTTAAGACCAGTTTTAACGATTCTTAAATTCAGTTCTTGAGGATTTTTTTTAAACCATTTTTTTCGGATTTTTCTTTGGTTTTTAAGGATTTTTTCTTTGTTTTTTTTAAGGGTTTTTCTAAAACCATTTTTTTAGGATTTTTCTAAAACCAGTTTAAGGATGTTTTATTCAGTTTTTAAAGATTTTTTTAAAACCAGTTTTAAGGATTTTTTATCCAGTTTTTAAAGATTTTTTTAATTTTTAATTTTTTTTCTATTTTAAGGGTCTTATCTGAGATGGACGCCGGTGGAGTCCATCATATGGAGCTGCAGGGCATCATGGGAGGTCCTCCCAGATCTCTTCACAGTTAGTCTCCCCGCGGTGTCATCCTGAATTCTCTTTGTGACTCATCATCAGCAGCGGTGGCGATGGTGGATTATTTAATCTGAGTGAAGCTGCAGGAGTCGAGGAAGAGGAGCTCCAACAGGCTCTGACTCATCCTTCTGGTCTCAGAGATGTCCCTGTCGATCTCTGGAGAGGCAGTCTGGAAGTCCAGAGATAAGGGTCGCTGAGGCGGACTAGAACGACACGTATGACCTCTGACTAGTGTTGTTTTTGGCAGCCTGTTTTAATTTTAGTCTAATCTTTGTTACAAACTTTCATTTTAGTTTTTATTAGTTTTACTTTAAACTCATTTTTGTTTAGTCTAGATTTAGTCAGAATAACCCATGATTATTTTAGTCTAGTTTTAGTCGACTCCAACTCACCCAAAAACGTGTTTGCCCACTGCATGTAAAAATACCACGAGTTAGGGGATTGAGGATGTGATGTCGCCTGTGTCTGAGCTGAGGAAACAGAAAACAATAACAACACAACTAAACAATTTCGTCTCGTTTTAGTTGACGAAAATGAAGAGACATTTTATCAGTTTTTATTTTGTGAACCACATTTAGTCTCGTTTCTATTCATCAACAATATTGAATTATATATTTAGTTATAGTTATCGTCACAAGACCGCCATTTACGTTTCGTCTCATCTCATTTCATCATGTGATAAAGGTTCGTTGATGACAATATTTCGTCATAATTTTAGTTGACGATAGCAACACAACCTCTGACCTTTCTGTCATTGTACCAGAGGAGTTATAATAAATCTGTGAGCGCAGAGGATGACATGAAAAACGGTCTCTGCTCCGGCCTGAACATAGGGTTCCAGGGGGTCTTCTTATGGTTAGCGAACAGCCTCTAGTGGACTCAAGTTCAATCGAGCAACAACGAGTTGTCTATAAAGACAGCCACATAGACATATAAGCAGGAGATAGTGTCATTCCAGAGGAAGAAATCTACTTCTAGACTTCTAGAATCAGCATCTCCTCATCCATGGTGTCATCGGGGTGAAATGACGTCTAAAATCCTTTCACTTGTTCGTCTCCACCTGTTTGCATGGTGTGAAATACGATCCTCCTGAAACACAGGGTGTTTTATTTTTAAAAGAAGCTGGATGTTTTATTTTGTGTCTGTGCCTGACTTCCTTTCCAGCACGGGTTAATCTGCGCTGAATTCATCCGGCATGCTCCAGCGTCTGGAAAAAATAGAACTCTTGCAATCAGCTGTGGAGTCTGGCGATCCGCAGAGGAACGGAAAGAAGCCAGTGGAAATTGACACGTTAACTTGAATGGTTACTATTAGCTACGATCGGTGGATACGACCTTTTAGTTGCCGTTCAGGATGCGGTGGAAATTGGGGGTCACCATCAAAACATGTCGTTAAAAACGGTTTTAGGTCACAAACTCCTTTTAAAGTTCAGTCCACTTTCCTTCTGAACTGAGCTGGTTTATCAGGTCCATGTTTAACCTCCACACAGTGAAGTGTTGGTTCTGTCTGACAGAGGACACGTTTAGACCCAGAGGAGCGAGTTGGCGCTCCACTCAGAGCTTTATATAAAACCTGAGAGGGGTCAGGAGGTCAGAGCAAGTTTAGAGGCTGTTCAGCACTTGAAATCTGCACAGATGTTTGCTGAATTATTCACACCAACAGAAAAAGAAACACCAAGTTTCTGCATGTAGAGACATTTTCACTGAGGTGACTCAGATCTGTGAGTTTATTTTTGCTCAAAAACCTTTTCCTGGGTTTGACCGAGGAGAAGAAGAAAGCTCAGAGACTGGAGGAGCAGTAAATTTGTGGAGTTGCAGCACTTTGAGTTCATTTCAGTGATGGAGCTCTTTGTTTACCTCCAACACGCTCTTATAAATGACCTTATTAGATTTCAGAGCACATTCAGACTTCCTCTCTGTGTTTCTGCGTCAACATCTTTCAGTTCAGCATCAATTCACAGATTACAATCTGCACATCCTGCAGTTTTCCTCTCACAGAGTTATTCCTGAAAAAAAAAAAAACCCACAAAAACAGGCGTTTGCTTACCTAAAGGAAGAATTGTCTGTGCAGAGGCCAAATATTTATGACTGTGAAGACTCAGAATCAGCCGTCAGATCCAGTCAGAGTTATTTAATCCACAGTTCTTTTATCTAGAGTTAGTTAATCCAGAGTTAACTAATCCAGAGTTATTTAATCCAGAGTTATTTTATCTAGTTATTTAATCCAAGGTTATCTAATCCAGAGTTATTTAATCCAGAGCTATTTAATCCAGAGTAATTTAATCCAGTTATTTAATCCCAAATTATTTTATTCAAAGTTATTTTATCCAGAGTTATTACATTTAGAGATAACTAACACAGAGTTTTTCAATCCCGAGTTACTTGATCCAGATTTATCTAATCCAGAGTTATTAATCAATAGTTTTCTAATCCAGAGTTAACTAATCCAAAAATTATTAATCCAGAGTTCTCTAATGCGGACTCATTTAATACAGAGTCATTTAATCCAGAGTTATCTAATCTAGGGCCTGTTGCATAAAAGTAGGATTCAGATATCCAGGGTAAGTGACTGAGCTGAGCTCAACAAATCCAAAACAAGAGCGTCCAGGCTTATTCCGTTGCATAAACGCTAATCCAGGATGAGAAGAAACTGATTCAACAAGCCAGCTGAAAGCAATCCTGGATAAGTGCGCGCACCTGGCTCCTTAAATAGACCCCCACAGATTCACCTATTCACCATGACAACCAGAGCTGCATACTTCTTCCCGTCGGAGCAGGATATACTTATGGAAGCGTATGAAGAGGTAAGAGATCAGGGGGGCATTCCATCAAAGTCGCTAAGAAAATCGGGACTATGGTGTAATCTTGAAGCTTGAAGTAACGGCCACTCCAAACCAAGCCCCAACCCGTTCCATCAAACGAGATCAGCTGGCTCCACTTGACGCTAATTCCAGCCTCACCTGTTAAGCCTCACACTGAGCGCCTCCCCGCGGAATATAAAAAGACCCAACAAGTCGAGTGCTGAAAGTGTTGCAAAATGGCTCAGAATGCCGCAAAACCACAGGCAGAGATTTTCTCTGCTGCTGAACAAAACCTCCTTATGGGGTTATATGATGATTACCGTGATATAATAACTAAAAAAGGTAACACCGCTCAAATAAACAAAGTGAGAGAGGCAGCATGGAAGACAATTGCCGACAGGCTGAATGCGTAAGTGATGTTTCATCCATTCATTATTTCAGATGATAATCCCATCTCAATGTTATTGATACAACCTGTTTGACATAACAGAATTGTAATTTAGGCTGTAAAATTAAAGAAATTCACTACAAGACAAGTTGTAGGCTACAGATGATTTATTCAGATTTATAATCTGAGTTGAAGTGGCTATAATCAAATTGTTTTATATGCAAAACATTTATCACACAGTTGATCATGTATTATCTCATTTACCTAATTCCCCCTATTCAGAGGAGCGCTGTTTAAATGTTTGCAGGGGTTAATTGATTCTCTTGTTGCATAAAAAGTAGCTAATTCCTTCATTTTACCTTCATGTCTGTGCAGTAGGATGAGGAACTAACTAAAACTCACTCAGCATTCACTGTGTCTTTTATTAACCTCCTTTTACTGTCCAAACAGAAGCAACCTCGGAGGCCAGAAATGCACCTGGCAACAGGTCAAAATAAAATATAAAAACATCCTTACAAATGGTCAGTGATGCATAATAATTGTAATAATGTGAAATGTATTAGTAAATATAACTGTAAAGCTGTGACTGTGTTCCTTGCAGCAACCAAGAAAAAAGCTCGACTGGGAGCCACTGGTGGGGGACCACCACCTGAGGAGTTTACACAGGCCGAATCCCTAACCCTCAGCTACAACAAGGGCCCCAAAATTGATGGTATTCAGGGGGGGAGTGCTTCCTCTCCTATTGATCCAGCGATACGGGCCACATTTGTTGAAGGTACTGTACTGTCAACCACTATCCCTCCGCTGCATGGCGACAGCCCCTCAGTTGATTTAGCTGACTGTTAACATGTTTTTTCTATTAGTAACGGAGGGACAAATCACTTTATTGGAACCCCCGGAAGTTGCAGCAGGGCCCCCAGGAGACCCTGTAAGTCCCAACCTGTAACTGAAATGCTGTCTGGCCTCCTACACCTGCTCAAATAACTGATGTTCCTCCATTTGCAGGGTGAAGGACCTAGTCATCAGTATCACCAGGACAGAGATGAAGAGGAGACCCTTTTCTGTAGAAGACACTGTACTCCAAGATGTAAGTCTGAATGTTAAATATTATTCATGTTGTTTGCATTGTCAAAATTAATAAATCAAACCCTGCTGCAGCAGACTACCCCATCCTCAACCGGAAGGAGTGAAGTGAGTTACCATTCTTTTCTTTTTCCTGTTTTCAAAATCACCATTAGCTGCATTTTGGCTGCACTCTGACACATTTTCTGATCATAGGATGTGAAGGTACTCTACAAAAGGTACCTCAAGCTGCAGATCCAACATAAACACCTGCAGATAAAAAAATTTAAACTTGAAATCAACAAGATGGAAAAGGATGAAAGTATGAATCCAGGCAGAGAGAATAAGGTCATTGTTTTTACAGTATTTAATTCTGTAACATTCTGTCTCCCCAGCTTGGTGACTCAGGACAATAGATATTCAAAAGCCATTTTGTCTTGTCATTCTGTCTTGTTTCAGTGAGGGTCTAAGGGTAGAGGATGTTATGTAAAGCCCTTTGTGATCCTCACATCTCTGGGTCCCTGTACAGGGGCAGGCTCTTCCCATCTGTCTTCAGGGAGAAGCTGTGGAAGCCTCTCCCTCCGGATGGTGGCTATGTTGTGGAGTACTGCGCACGCAACCACTATGTCGCAGGCCCGGTCAGGAGCCAGCCTCAGATATTTTAAGCACTGGAACCTGCAGAGATTGGAACAAGACTGGTTAAAGGTTGATCAAAGCAGCCTTTAACCTGGACTTGAGCAGGCCAAAAACCATCTCAATTCGTGCCCTGGTGATGCTGAGGGCATTATTAAAGGCTGCCTCAGCTGCAGCCCTTGGCTCAGGATATGGGGTTAAAAGGTATGGGAGGCAGGGATAACCCCTGTCCCCAAGAAGGACCCCCTCAACCCCCCCCTCCAAGGTGAGAAAACAGTGGCTATGAATTACATCATGTTGAGACATGATGAAGGTTGTCTTACCTTGTGCAAGCCTTTGTGCCAGATGGCTTTCCCTTAGTATCCTAGCATCATGGACACCGCCAGGCCATTTGGCCTCCATGTTTGTGATGAGCAACTCAGAATCACAGATCATCTGTCAGCATGCAGGGTGACATCAGTGACACTGGACACTAGCAGTGGGACATGTACAGTAGCTCCATAGGCTATGTACCTGTACATTCAGGCTGTGGTTATTCCTTCAATCCACAAAGTCCCTTTCCACTTGTCCAGGTGGGGCCTGGATCTGGATATGCGTGCGGTCAATGCAGCCAAGGACATTGGGAAAGCCTATGTGAGAGGATAAAAGTGCCATATGTCAACCTGTGGACCATTTAACTTCACATTGCATGCATTTAAATGTCACATACCTGCAATTGCATAAAATCCCTCTTTGATCCTTTGTATCCCATGATGGCTTGGGAAGGTGATGAAGATATTGAGGAACTCTTTAAGGGCAAGACAATCTGCTCTTACCTGTAATAAAGTTTTTTTTTTTGTTCATTTATTAATTCATATCCATGTCATGTGATCATCTTGCAACCTATGTATGATGTTTGGTGATGTAAGAAATAATCCAACTGATCTAAGTAGGCCTACCTCTCTGCAAACAGTTGCCTTACTTAGTCCCTCAGCATCTCCAACACTATACAGAAATGTACCGCTGGCAAAGAACCACAGTGCAATACATACAGATTGCACAGGGGTCAGTGATTGGCTACGGCGAGTGACCTTCCTTATGTGTGGCTCCAGCAAAGTGCATAAATACACTATGCTCTGCCGGCTGAATCGATACCTCTCCCACAGGAAAGAATCACTTTGTTCCAGTGGGTTAGTCCTCTCCTGGAAGACCCTCGGGGCTGGTGGTCGCCTGAAGAAGGCCCTTTGAATTATTTGTGCCCCTTCATCAATTGGCTCCTCATACTCAATGAATGGACATGCCATGTTCTCTTAGTCTTTGTCTCTGCTGAATGTGTGCCCCCCTGCCTGTCTTGACTGCTCTGCTTAATAGTCTACACCTTGCCATCATTGACTGTCTGGGGCAGTCGATTGGAGGACATTTTAGGTGACTGATGTAGGCTTCCTCCATGTGTTTTAATCATACCTTTAAATTTATTCATTGTTATTTTTTTTATTTTATTTTATTCATCTTTATCTATAAGGATGCAATCAAGATAAACGAAAACGGATTGATTTTTATTTTTTACAAAATCAGAATACTTACCAAATGCACTTTTTGCTTAGTTTACAAAGTGGATGGAAAGCACGTTTTGGTTTCACAAATTATTTTATCAGTGCATTGTGTATGTAAATGCAAAACAGACATGTCTTTTGGACATTTTTTGGACATTAGTGGAGTTAATCTTCACCTTAATCCTGCTCCAGACCAGGGGCCTGTTCTACAAAGCAGGATTACTGCTTAGCGAGGTAACTTCGAGGGTAAGTTCGGGGTGTCCTGTTTCTACGACGCGGGTTCACTTCTTAGCGAGGCGAGTCTCCATAGCAACATACGCTGAACGGCTAACCTGCTCCGGGGCAGGTTAAGTTCCAGATTGAACTCACCGAGCATAAAAACCCCGCCCACTGACCAATGAGCTCTCTCGAAAAACGGCTTGTCCGTTCTCGGAGGATCCTGTTGACCTCGGTGCTCGCATTGTCCGAGGAGCACTCCGGCTCGTGAGAGTTTTCAGGGACCGCACAGACCCACTTACTTCTCCGGATGATCACTTTTATGAAAGGCTCATATGGCCGACATATCACACAAAACATGTAAACACGATAGGAATGAACAAATGAATTAATTCATCTTGGAAATGAATGGGCATGGGCTATGTGATCACAGACAACATCTCGGTACTATTTAGTAGCAGCGCACGCCCCTTTTAATAACCCCGTAAATACTGTTGTTCAGGACTGCTTACTTGTGCTTCCTACCTACTGTAATAACCGTTGTTCTTGCCCACATGCAACATTTTTGTTCTCATTCATGAAACGCTTAAATTTGGGACATTTTCGGGGACAGCTTTAGCCGGGGACAGATCATCCAATTCGGGGACTGTCACCTTAGTTAAAAGCGCATGTTGAACAGTGCTATTTCAGGGTGATAATGGCATCAAAGATTAATTTTCTGCCTTCCGTGCATTTGCAGCGGCGGCAATGTTGCTTTTGAGGTTTGTGATAGATTAGAATTCTTCGTACTTTCTCATGATCGTCTCCTGCTCCTCGTTTGTAAAGTCTGCGGTCCTTCGCTCTCCTGCCTGCTCTGACGCTCCAGACTGATCCATGTTCGCGATTGGTCAGATGCGGCGGGCTCCGCCTTACATGTGTGCACGCGCTCATAGCAAAGCTGGATCAACTTACGAGGTTCATAACCAGCGTTGTAAAACCGTGTAGCGAGACCGCTGGCTACCGCGCTAAGTTGAGCAAGGTAGCTCCAAGGCTACCTCGCTCGGTTGAACCTGCTTCGTAGAACAGGCCCCAGGTTTGGCCGGCAGCATAAGTCACCATGGTTACAAGGCTGGCATTCGTGTTAACCACTTTGATGGAACAGAATTGAGGCTCAGGTTGATGGAAAAGAAAGTCAGAGCTTAGCTCCAAGTGTCCGGCTTAGCCAGAACCATGTTTCCATAGTTACTAAATTGGAGCTAATCTTAGTCACATTGGTGAAACTCAACTCTCACTAAAATAATTGAGACTTGGCCATTTAAGCCAGACTTTGAGCTAAGCGAGCTTGATGGAATACCCCCCAGGTCGCTAGGTGGCACGTGTCGGTGTGACTGCGCTCCCATATAGACCAACAACGCATACGTAGAACAACTTCCATTCTACTTCCTAGAAGCATTAATTATTTGATGCAAATAATTCAGACGCCTCCTCTGCTGAGAAGTATGATCCGTGAGGATTCTGTACAGGTCGAAACTGAGCTCCTGCCGTTCATTAATAACGACAGCACAACTCAAATGTCTAGCATGGTTGTTGTTGTGATTTTCAAGGAAGCTGCGCATGGCTATGATGTCATAAGCATGAGCCGACGTGAGCCAGGATGTCACAGGTTTGACTGCGTTTTTGTACTTTAGACGAAAGCGGGACTAGCAGAGGGTTTACAACATTTCCACTCTGGAGGGGGTTTTCACTTTGTTACGTTTTCATCTCCTGAAAACACAGTTGCCGTCTAAACGAAAACTAAATTTTTCCATTTTCTATTGAGACCGTTTCCATCTAAAAGTGGCCTAATCCAGAGTTTTAAATCCACAGTTATCTAATCCAGAGTTATTTCATTCACAGTTTCACAATCCAGAGTTATTTAATCAAGAGTTATTTAATTTAGAGTTATTTGGAGAAGGGGGGGGTGACTAACCAGACTCATTCCTATTTAGAGTAACCCCAGTATTAAATGTTAAATCCACTCGCTCTGTGAGACTGAAAGGATCAGACAGTCCAGATCCTCAAACCTAGATCAGGGTTTGTGTTTTAATTATAAAGAAATATAAATATTTTTCAAGTAAGTCTTTGTTTGGTCTGTTGGCCAATCAGAGGCTGTGTCCACAATCAGCTGACCTGTAAATTAGAGGAGAGGGCAGCAGAGTAGTTGTGATAGATCTGTCCTTGTGACTTTTGTTTATATTTAACATACTTTACTTAAAATGTAAAATAATTTCCTAAAAACCTCATTATTAGTCGTCTTATTGGAGTAAATTCAGAATTTTTCTCTCATGATATAAAATGAAAATAAAAATAAATGAAATCTTTTTAAACTGATTCACAACGGTGACTACATTTAAAGGACCAGCCCGCTGTTTTTTTCTGTCTTTCTCTAAATAAAGGATTGAAAACTCTTTGTTCTTGATTTGTATGAGAAACATGATCATCTATATTAACATAGATCTATAATGATGGTATTTTTACTCTTGTTAAAAAATACTCCAACGTCTCTGTGATTGAAGCATCAAAATCAGGAGCTCTGAACTCTGTCATCTTTCAACACATTTCAGTTTTTATTAGAATATTTTAGTGACAACCACAGCAGCAGAGTGTGTGTGTGTAAATGATGTGTGAGCATGCATATGTATGAAAAATCAACACTTTGAAACCATAAATAATTTGTGATGTCACTGATGTATGCAGCATCAGCACAATCTGTGTGTGTGTTTGTGTGT